CGTGCCTTTCCTGTATAAAGTACCACTACGTAACTCATATGTTTTTGCTACATCCTCCGGAAGTTCTCCATTGCGCAGTTTGGACACGATAGATGATGTTTCCTCATCTCTTTGCTGCTCTGCCAGCAACCAGTTATCGGAAATCTTTTTCAAGTGTATGCGCTTTTCGGTATTTTTTTAGGAATTTTAAGAATTTCTGACACTGGGTTTCGAGAGAAAACGTCTACATGGCATTCTGTCACCTGGTCTGTACTCAATATCGAATATACGACCACCACCTTTGAACTTTTGGAGTTAGTTCAGCTTTAGCTTTAGAAGCCTTGAGCGAGTTGCAATCCGTATAAACTGTAAAGTGACGACCATGCAGGTAATGGCGAAAGTACTTCATAGAAATGTATACTGCAAGCGTTTCTAACTCATATGAGAGGTAACGCGATTAGGCTTGCGCAGTCTTTTAACTCTAAAGTAGTTCGTTTGATCGAATTCGGGTGAATTGGGATTTGATGAAAACCGCTTGCCATATCTATGAAGATGAAAAACTTAACGCCACTTAATATATCTATCTGATCTGAAATAAGTGGCAAGGCATACTTATCGGAAACAGTTTTCGCGTTTAATTCCCTATACTCGACACAGAGACGGTCAGTTCAATATATATATAGGATTTATGGATATACAATCTGACGTACGAACAGGCAATACAGTTTTTTCATTAAGCATTGAAAGTAAATTAGATGTAAGTTTGACATAACCTGATACCCTGACTCAAAATTTCCCGCCCAATCAAAGCATCGTATTTGATGTAACTATCCTGAACTACATGGAAAAGAATTTCAGAGGAATGATCACAAATCATAACATTGGCCAAAAACTGTAGGGTCCCCCCTTAAAATAACTACGCTATTTATTCTGGATCCAGACAGTTTCAGCGAGACGGCTTACTTGATGAGCGAGCGAACAAAAAAAAATTGGAACGACTCACCAAATTGTTGAAAAGTTCCAAGGGGTTCCAGTACTGTGCACAGATTGACGTCTTTAACATAATCCCTCTTGACCGGCATTGGGCGTTCCTGGCGATCCGGACACACGGTAGCAACGTATCCTTTCTTTCAGATAAGAGTAGAGCGATCTCTTCCTGCAGTTTGTCCAGAGCGCTTGTTACTCGGTTGATTATGTCGCGTGAACACACCAGACGAGCGATATTCCGCCTTCTTGTGACCCTCTTCGCCGCATTTGTGACATCGAATTTTGAAGAATTTGGTTTTCTTATTAGCAGGGGTTGGCAAGCTGTCGCCAGAACCGCGGCTCGGACCAGCATCAAAAGAAAAAGCTTTTAGTTTCTGTTGCAGCTCGTTCCGAGAATTAACTTCTGTAGTAAAAGCCAAACGTCGCAATCGCTTGTCTATTTCAGCCTAATGTGCCAAAGCAACTGAATCGTCAATTCACTCTACCGTTAGGGACTACCATCTGGCCATCAGGGATGTAACTATTCTGCAATGATTCTCCCTCAGTTGGGCGACCATCGAGCAAATTCTTGACAGTTGCAGCCAAGGTCTCCGTTCCGGCGAAATACTGCAAGAATAGCTCCCAGGTAGCATGTTTGAGCAAGCCAATGTGGTGCGCTCCCTTCCAATGAGCGGCTGAGAGCCATCACGAGAGCACTGCCTTCCAGTCTGTTTTCAGAGAGAATGCACCGTTGCACTCCATGACACTGCATCGGCGCATGCACGATCAGGGTTGAAGCTCAATTTCAGATTATTTTCACTTTCGGTTTCAGGCCTGGGTAATCCCACTTCTGATGTCGTGGATTCACTCGAATTATCCTCCGCTTCTGGCTGCTCTCCGAGCTGCTTCAAATAGAAACGTTTTCTTGCGCATGGCATGATCTATTCCGTTCCGTTTCTCAACTACGAATGATCTCAATCAATCCTAGCCTCCTTATTCTTGTGTGTCGTTCTCTTACTCTCTTTCACACTGCAGCACATAAAGTTCTAAGTTCTTTCCGCTATTCCCTTTTGAAGCGGCCACCCGCATCCTTCTAACTCACTCACACCAGCGCACAGATAAACGTTGACGACAGAAGCGGTCGCCTCGATTTGGAGAAACAGCACAGAAACACACGAAAATAAATGGGAAGCGGGGACAAATCAAAGCTAAATTTCGTTATAATTTGAATTTTCTAAGTAATCCACGACAAATATAACAAGAAGAAACGATATAGTCGAGTACCGTGACTATAAGATACCCGTTACTGTTTTACACAATTTTAAAATATTCATTTTGCTAGTGGAATTAGTGGAAATTATAACTTATAAATTATAAATTATAAATTATAAATTATAAATTATAAATTATAAATTATAAATTATAAATTATAAATTATAAATTATAAATTATAAATTATAAATTATAAATTATAAATTATAAATTATAAATTATAAATTATAAATTATAAATTATAAATTATAAATTATAAATTATAAATTATAAATTATAAATTATAAATTATAAATTATAAATTATAAATTATAAATTATAAATTATAAATTATTAATTATTAATTATAAATTATTAATTATTCGGTGTTAAGGGCCAACAACATAAACTCAATTCGCATCGTTTGTACGGTATTCGCATATACCTGCAAAACATAACAATAGTCAGCATTGGCTGCTGTACAGTTCGAAAACTTTAACACAACGCCGAGCGTTACACAATTTCTTTTACTATTCGGTCCCTTCTACCCGCTATTTCAATTTTCGCTTTCTTTGCCGGAAAGTTGGCGTAGTATCTTTTCTATACTTTTTCCGAAACGAATTCGAATTGGCGGAAACAAATAAAATAGAGCTTGTGGAACGTGCCTCAGATTACGAAGACCCGTTACTGCGAGCTAAGCGTCAACTTGCGGCTTTAATTGCATTGTCGAGTAAGAAGACTCTTGAATCTTGACGGAGAGTCGGAATAGGACAAGAAGCTTATTAAACTTTGTGATGAAAAGGTACTGTCACGACCTTGGGACCCATTTGAGGCCAAGGTCGTATTTAAGTTCACGCCAATGCTTCTAGATAATCAGCCTTCAAAGCGAGGCGTTTTAACAGTGATCGCAAGATGTTATGAGCAACTCGGCCAAAGCCAAAATATTTAGGCAGGCATTGTGGAAAGAAAGTTTAAGCTGAGATGAGCCAATACCCAAGGAGCTCTCTTAAGTTTGGCTATCGATTCGATATTTTACCTCCCCGGTCACCACACTTTGGGGGATTGTGGGAAGCGGCTGTCAAGGCACCCAAATTTATAAAGATTTTTTTAGAGTCGTTTATCCGACAATTTTGACATTTGATGAGCTCTCTCGTCCACTTTCTCAAACTTCAGAAGACTCGAGCTTCAATTCTGTTTCAGAACCAGACGTGGCGCATCTTGAAGCACCTCGTCTTAATCAATATCAACGATCGGTCCACATTCAGCAAATTTTCTAAAGGAAGTGGATCCCAGATTATCTCTCCTTGTTAGAGGGGCAAGTGGAAATCTGGACAAACCAGCATACGGGTCAATGTCGTAGTGTTGGTGAAGGATGAAAACTTTCGTGTGGAAGAGCTTGGTCCTTGTTGGAAGCGGATCCCTTCCAACAGGGGGAGGATGTTCGAAGCAGCAGTAACAGAATTGATTAATTTTAAATGACATTTGCTATTATTCGTTTTTATAATTCGTTTTGTTTTGAGAACGTGCTGTTGTGAGTCGCTACATTCGACTCTTGAGCTCTTTGTACACGGGACAGCCTTTGTAGTAGGCGATGTGGTTTCCTCCGAATTTTTTAATTTTTTGGTACTTGGATCATCTTTGTTGGCAGGGCGATTGTCGGTATTATGACTGTCTCCGCAAGCTACGCAGACTGAGCGCATTGTGAGGTACCCTCTGGTGTGTTCATACTCCTGACAATTCGTGCATTGCACTGGACCATTCCGCTTTGTACAGCCTATACAAAATTAACAGTGAACAGTATCTTATTGTCCTAACCATTTTTCGGAACAAATCATCGGAGCGTCGTACGACGCCTTAACTAACCATGGTACGAATTAAATTACAAGGCCATACTTTCGAGAATGGATTTTATCTTAAGAAGACCAATGTTCTCGAGCCAGAATTAAGCATTCAGTCACAGGGTAGAATAACAATTACGGAAACTATAATAACCTATGAAAAGAAAGCTTAATTATCGAGGATACTAAAAGTAAAGTAAAAGGCAAGGCCTTAAGAATTTTCATTTCTGGACTAAATGGTTCAATCTGCGATATTCTCGCTAATCCCACCAGACTTACTGAACGCTTTATCGATGGACCAAGAAATAGAGTCTAACAAATTTGAAGATGAGTTCGCAAATGAATACTATGGATTTTAGCATGAAAACAAAAAACTGGGAACTTATGTAAGATTCAACCAGGTGCAGCTTAAGCAAAACTATAACTGCAGGAACCAAAGTAGGGTTACCGTACTTGACGAGGATAGATAGGCGCTTAAATTAAAAATTTAAAATATTAATTGACACAGGAGAAACATCCTGCAATATAAAAAAGGGTATATATATTTTAAACAAAAACTCCCCATATGCAAAAAATCTCCACTGTAAATGGTTACTCAATAATAAAACATTACATTAACATTTTTAAAACAAATCGAATATTTTACGAAATTGAAGGTTTTCGAGCCGATTTGTTATTAAATCAAATTGAACCAAAACATTCTACTTTCGATATCCCAATTCCATGTCGAGCGGATATTAAAGGTGAAATCACTACACTTCATGACAGATCAGTTTACAGCAAACAGCATCCCAACCTCTGTTAGTCTCAGATTTCGTTAGTAGGGAAATAAGCATAATGCTATCGGAACATGGCTTAAACAAAATAGGTTTCGATTGAAAAAGAAATTTTAAATATTATTAAAAAAAAAATAATAAACATGGAATAAATTATATTTGATTTACAAATATCATTTAAAGTACTTACTTTGACATTTTATCTCCTTCCAAGAGCTGCAATTTGTAATAGGAGTTTTTATTTTGCTGAATGTCGGTCAATCCTAACACAGTATTGTATTTGTTTTTTCCCTCCACGTAAACATGGGCAATGTCCTCAAGGCCACTATCAGGATCAACAGCCAGACCACCTTTCACTTTAAAAATCTTTGATGTTGGCATCGATAAGGTATATATACTTTTTAACTCTGAGCTTTTCGTTATATCTTTTGGAATTCTTAACGTTGGATCTGTTCCCCAATTACAAATGGATGTGCTATTTATATATTTGATAGCCCCTTCTGCGTCAGATTCCACAAAATCTAAATATTCAATGGGCACAATATGTACTCCCAACTCCTGTGCAGACTCCATTCGGTTTGATTTTTTTCTGACTTCCGCTTCTGATGATATTATTGCTATTGTGTTTCCAGATATTTTAGCTTCGAAATTTCCGCCTAATTTTTCTATTCGGTTTTTTAACTGTTTTTGTTGTTCTTTTAAACCTATAATCGAAAACTTAAGGTTGTATAACGGAAGCTTCGCACGTGTAATTTTCGGACTGAAATAAATGAAGTAAAATATATATGTAAGACATTAGCTATTTTCAAACTTGTATACATTTTTTTGTAAAACTTTTTTATAAATAAAATTCAAATGTTTTAAAATGCTTAGAATAAATTAAGTCAAAGGTTTTTCTTTAATGTTCTAAGATTTTATGAACAATATTTTTAAAATAGAAATATAGGTAAGTTATTTATTTATGATTTTCGGTCTGAAATAAATGAAGTAAAAAAATAAATGTAAGCTTTTTGTAAACTTTTATACATATTTTATAAAACTTTTATATAATTATATTTAAAAAAAATTCAAATGTTTTAAGGACTAAAAATAAATTAGGTCAAAGGTTTTTCATTAATATTCTGAGATTCTATGAACAATATTTTTAAAATAGGAATATAGGTAATTTATTTATTTATAATCATGAATCCAAATCTTATATATAAGTCGTGTTAATTGCACTATTTATAACTCAAGAACGACCTACCAAAATCGTCTTACGTAGATATGTATATCATTAAAAGAGGGATACTTAAAATCGTCTTACGGCAGAGCATTTACTAACACAAATACATAAATGCGTCCACATATTGATGTGATGTTTTTGTGCACTGAGAGAAAAAAACCTTTTTTTGCTTGCGAATTCATCACTCTTTTTACTGACCCGCTAAATAAACTCTACATTTTATACAGAAGTTATTAACAATAAATTCCATTGCAAGCGTTCGAAGATGTTTTAGGAAAGAACAAATTTTATAGCAGTTGGCGACGGAATGATGCGAAAAGAATTGTAGTGTAATATCGCCGCAAGCACTTAAAGCTTATGGGCGACCAGCCCATACGTTTCGAACATTTGAAAAATAAATGAGCACCTGCATTGAAAGCTAGCGACAAGTGACCATCTTGATTAAGATGAATAGGTGAAGTTGAGCGAATGCTAATGCCGCGACCAAGACGATTGAATCTTTCGCGGAAAGCAGTAATGCAAGAAAGATAAGAAAAACTGAAATTGACAGGACTGAAAAAGAAGAGTCTTGTCCTTCTCAGTCACAAGAACAACGTAAGGAAGCATTTGAATCGAGCATCGTTTCGATACGATTACAGCAATTATTTTAGCTTGCATCCTAGCGTTTGCACTGGGCAAATGGACGTTGTTTGCAAGTATTGTGGTCCATTAAAGTTTTTCGGAGAAATGCCAGGATTATGCTGCTTTAGTGGTAAAGGTAAATGACTATTGTTGACTCCGCCACCTGAGCAGATATTATCGGCGAGCGAAGATTTAAACCGACAATAAAGGTATTTATTAATACGCTCACTCTACTCATAAACCGAAAAAAGTGTATAAAATACTGACTTGTTTTCATTTTGTAGATATATGGTCGTATTCATCATCGAATTGTGTCTTTAATACCACTCGAACAGCACAGCATGAATTTTGACAATAATTTTACAACATGGAAGAACAAATCGATCGACGTGGAGAGATAAATGCAGGAATAAAGTGATCATTTCCTCAAAATTTGCAGAAACGTCTTTATGAACATCATGCGCTTGTCAGGTTTTTTAAGAGTGGCGAGTATCAATATTATAATTTCTTTTATTTATTAGACAAGTGACTGGTAACCGTTAATTAATTATGCATAAAATTTACATATGAAAATCTATTGTTTTAATTTTAGGTGAAAAAACTACAAAGAATAGTAGCGAAACGAATTATTACGAGTATCGATTGATGATTCGTCAAAATTCAACCTGACATGATGTTGTTATTGCAAATATGATTTTTTCGCGACTCCCGTTGCTTGACGTGCAACCCGCCTCCCCCCCAACCGACCTAGGGGCGCTGCCTTCTACCGTACGGCTCGGAACACGGGGATAGTACCGACTGAAAAATGTTATAAACTACTAAATTAAGTGTGTGCTAAGTGGTTTAGTAAATCAATTTTTACGTTAGTAGGAGAAGTATTGGATGTAATGTGGTACAGGGCATTGTAACTCGAACATAATACCCTGAATGGTTCATAAAGGGCAAAGTTGGAGCTGCAATGTCACAAGGATAAGGGAATATAATTTCTAGTTGGCCAGGCGGGCACATTGATGTTTAAGCGACCTATAAGGGCTTGGCCATCAATATCTTCGCTAATAAGATTGTTAATAACATATACATACTCTAAGATCGGACGAACGAGAGAGACAAATAAAGTTTTGGTTATGTAAGGTCATTAAATTCTTTCGACCATGTTTTTATAAAACCTAGCACACCTCTGGCTTTATTAACCATGGAAAATATATGGTCGGAAAATGTAAGTTTGGCATCCAATAGGAACCTAAGTCGTCTACTAGCCTTATTTTATCCAGGCTTACACCACGAAGTGAATAAGTGGTTATTAACGGCTTAGACTGAAGGTCATTACTTTACACTTAGAGCCGTTAAGATTTAGTAAGTTTGCAGAGCACCAGATTGTAGTTTTCTCTGGTAGCACGCATCTTTATATTGAATACAACGTTTCACATCATCTGCATACATTAAAATAAAAAAATTTGTTAATGCGATAGGCAGGTCATTTATGAATAATGTAAAAAATAGCGCACCCAAATGGCTTCCCTGGGATGAAGCATAAACCGGACCAGACAAGACATCTTTAAATAAAATACGTTTCGTTCTACCAGTCAGATAACTTTCAACCCACCTAAGAAGATCCAATAGGAATCCGATTAGGTCGAGTTTATGAACTAGAAGTGAGTGATTTACGGAGTCAAATGCTTTACTAAAGTCAGTGTAGATGACATCTGTCTGAAGACTTTTTCGGAACCCAGTGATGACATAAGAGGTAAATTCAAGTAAGTTAATAGTTACTGATATTACTGATCTACACTGGTGTTGCAAATGAAGCCCAATAATTTTCTCAAAGAGTTTAGCAATTGCTGATAATCCGAATTTTTCCCTTTCTTGTGTAAAGGAATGATGCAAGATTCCTTCCAAATTAGCGGGCAACGTAGTCGTTTCAAACGAGAGTTTAAACAGTTTGAGAAGAGGATTGCACATGGAAGACGCGAAGTACCTAAGCACACAGCCGGGAACGCCGTCGGGGCCTGGGGAAAAGGTCGGCTTAACACTCTGAAGATCCTTAAGAATACCACTCTTAGACAGAAAAGGTCGACCCCAAGGAGGGTTATCCGTTCTGGGCGGGTACCTTATCGGAACACATATATAAAAAATTAGGTTTCCAGCATGGTAAAATATGTTTAAAGCTAAAATCATATCAATGCATGCGTAGAGATCGGACCAGTCAAAATCAGAGATAAGAATATTAAACTTAAGAAAGTCTGACATGCATACTTTCCTATTATAATGATATTTAAATTTAGTTATGTCATCCACCATGATGTCGGCTTTTGTTCTGTCTTGTATGTAAGCCAATACGTCTGCCTCAGACGTATCATCGGAAAGCCGGGAATATATGTTTCTCAGGTGGGATTACCTTTAGGGGCTTTGGTGTAGCAGGTTCTAATCCTGCACCGCCAGTGCACGCCGGTAGTCCGGGCACGAAATTTTCTTGCAGTGTATCGGGTGGGTTGATGTTAATGGAGATTGCCTCTGTAGGAGCCAGGAGCCTTGAAGCAAACTATCTAAAGATTTCCTACCATCATGTCCAGAAAATTCGGATGCCGAATTTTTCGTACTCACCGGAGTGTTGGCCAAAGGCGTTCCAAACAGCTGCGGCGACACTTCAGTGTTCTGAAGGTAAGAAGTGAGAGCGAGAAGGGAACTAGTGATCTGCGGCACACAAGACTTTGATTTTTTACGCTTTGGAGACTCATTTAACAATTGGACATTATTAAATTGGGTGTCCAGGGCCGTGAGCAAATCGCTGGCTTTACGTAAAGCGCCGAGCACCTTACGAAAACCATTTTTTGTCTGCGGCATAAAAGATCTCATTTCCTATTAGTCCCCCGACAACTTTCACAGCAGTAATGTAAGCCGGCCTCGCCTCGAGCCAAACCGTCCGATACGGTGGCACGAAAATTGGCACATTTGGCATGAACCACATTATCGCAAAGCCAACATAAAACGCTCGGTTGGTTTGTTATAATTATTTTATTACAAGATTTTAAATAGCAGACAATTTCAGACATAATGAGGTATAATTATTATTTTAAAACACTATTTAATCAAAAAAAGCCCACTGTGCGAGAACAGAAAAAAAGAATAAAAACAAGATAAATTTTAAACATGCACACTGTAAGAAGGGAGATGGAGCGGAGGGAATAGATTAAAATCAAGATAGGGTATAGATAAGGAAATAGGAAATAGGAGAATGAGAGATTAAGATTATTTCACAAATAATCAACAAAGATAAACGAGATTAGGAAATCACGTCCGTTCGCTTCGGAAGATTATGTGAATTTTATGGACCGTGTGGCGCCATTAATCCCCAATCACCGTGCATGGCCGATGAAAAGTGTTCTAAACGATATCCACAGGTATGTATGTGCGCGCCTGAGTCAGGTATTCTATAAGATCCTCCCTCCATTGGTTTTCTGGAAGACGTGACCCTTTGCTATCTCTTGGATGAGTCTACCTGGGAACTCACCCCTGGAGGTGTGAACTTACACCAACCCTCAAGTGTGTGCTGATATTTGCTTGTGCGCGGAGATGTGAAAATTTATTTTTATGCGTTTTAATGAAAAGTTGCAGTTTTTAACTTACAATCGTATAAAGCATACCACTGGAAAGGGCTTGAAAAATGCTTTCCAATGAGCACTTGGGACATCAGCGAATTGGCACTCGGCTAAAATGGCACTCGGCGAAATGGTCCTCCACTGATTAGCCGTGCTACTACCCTAAAAAGGCGAAAATTTCGGAAATTGGGGGTCGCAATATAGACCCTCACTAACAAAAAAAAAAAAGTGTGTTTGGTGTCATTGGAAAGCATTTTCCAAGCCCTTTCCATAATATATAAAAAATTATAAACACTTTTTACAAATTAATTTTATATA